GGAGAGGAGCGAGTGGAAGAGCAGTTCAACACAAACTGCTAGCTAGTGATGGGAATTTGAAAGAGATACGAGGGAGGAAGCGGGGATGAGAGAGGTGTCGCCGTCGGCGGGGGAGTGTGTCATACCCCAACTTTCCCCTAGCGCTTAAGCCTCGGATTTTCTCATATGCGCTTGTCACTTAAGTGGGAAGCGTTCCCGAAAGAGATTTTCACTACTTCATCTGGATGTTCACGTCATCTAGGAGGTCCTACGCCCCAGCCAAAGCGGATTTCAACAAGCTGCCACGTCGTTTGTTTTTTTCTGGGCGCCGTTAATGGAGGTGGTGATTGATTGTCTTTATGAGGTATTCAAAAGCTACTCACTCATTGTTTGATGGTGTCGAGAGTAAAGATGAAGTGGGTAGATTCTGAAAAAACAACACTTTACTACTATACACGTAAACAAGTTCAAGTTATAAACTTACATAAACATCGGTCATTCAAAGAAGTACACGAAATTGGCACATAAATGGAAGTCTACAAAGGGGTGGGGCAGATTTCCAGTCGAGCATACACCTGCTAGGCTGACGACGTAGAGGTGGTATAACGTTGAAAATCTCACCGGATATGTTTAGCGCCAGTTCAGGAAGAGGTTGTCAAAGATGGGGAGGAGATGAAGAAGCAAGTGTCACCAAACACTTACACTTCTTCTTCTTCTGGTGGGTGGCTTGACGATGAAGGAGAGCATCAAGTGAAGCTCGAATAACAGGGCCGACACCCGCACATTCAACCCCCAGAAGCTTCAGGAACGGCTCTGTGCAGTTTGTCACGCCTTCTGAGCCGAGAGATCCCCAAGGAGACCACCCAGGGGGGACCTTGCGTGACATGTTTGATTCACGTTACGATGGCTTTGCAAATTAAACGAATGGGATTATGCCACGCACGTCATATATCCCTTCCTTTTGGATCCCTTTGGTCTTCAAAGGTGATAATTAAATCATAACAGCCGAAAAGAATAAGCCGAGCCGAACACGTTTGTGTCGAAGACTGACCAAATAAGAGGCTTCATAGTTGATGAAGACCCAGGCTACGAAAGCAAAAAGGCTTATGCCCCGTTAAGCGCTCTAATTCCCACCCACATTCCCACCCATATGCATCCATAAACTAAAAGGCCAGAATGAAAATGCTTCCCGCAAGCCTAGAACCAAAGGCTTCCTTATGGTAAATGAGTTGAATATTTTGTTCCCGTTTTTATTAATTGCCAATTATCGGGAATCGAAAAATGCCTGAAACGCCAATTTCATTCCATCGATGCGAGAAGATGAAACTGCACAGGATGCTGCCCCTTTTGGGTATTCAAGAGTCAACATGGAACCGGTTGAATAACTCCTTCTTGAGGTCCTGAGATTCTGACAGGACCCATTTTTTAAAAAAGCTCAGGCACAGTTCTGACCAATGTTCTGGCAGGTGGGAGGCCTGGTCCCGACATGGCCAGGAAGCGCCGGGAAGGTCATTGGCGTTGCTTTGCTGGAACTGGGTTACCAAGCACAGTGATCTCAGATGGTCTTGGCCCGACGGACCTCCGAAGCGCAAACTTTTGCCGATTTTCTCTGAGGGGACTCCCCTTTTAGTAATCCATTTTTCTCATGCCGTTTCAAGTCATTTCCTTATCCTCGAAGAATGAGAGAAAAATAGGAAAAACAAAGAATTTTAGAGTGGAAATTGAGGGATGTCTCTTGATGAAGAGGAATTTTGATATCATCGGGGGCCTGCAAAATGTCACTGACGTGGTGGCCGCAGGCCACAGGCCATTTGGCCTGATTTAATTTTGAATGGCAATCACAATGGCACCTCCTGACTCAGTTCTATAAGTTTAATTGTCTGGTACCGCTGAACCAAAAACTTAATCGCATGTTATGATAATCTCGTTATTAAAATGATGAAGACTTTTGCAATTATCCGTGAGATCGGAATCTAAAAGATGTGGAAATTGTAAGAAAAAGAATAATTATCATATGGTGGCCATTAGAAGGCTGGAGCAAAGTAAATAGTTCCTTATGGAGCACGGCATGCAATGAAAACAAGATGGAAGTGGTTGAAATCTGAGAAAAGTAAAAAAAAAGCTATTCGTTCTCAGAGAAGATATGAAGATGTGGTCTGGGGGGTTAATTATTGGAAGTGCACCCTTCTGATGATGGACGGCATCCGTCAATGAAGAAATTTTNATGACTCATTGGGAAGGGAAGCACACAACAATGGGAAATTCTGCGAATTCCCCATTCATTGCTAATAAGTCATTTCCGTTTCAATGCAAAGCTTCAGTGAAAACGATTGGGTGGGCTCAAGTTTCCTGAACCCAAGTGGGGGATGGGAGCTCAAAAACCTTCGAGAATGATTCCTGATTGTCTCCCTGAGGTTCAGTTAATTAACTTCGAGCAGATATGGCTTATAAGTAAAAGTTTACTGAGGGTCTCAGATGACATCGATGATCAGTTTCACCTACCAACTTCTTTGACAAACAAGTTGTAATTGAAGTAATGATAGTGATAGCAATGTGTTGGGACCGCCCAATGCTGATGCTGTCATTTACGTCATAAGAAGATACTGGTACCAAAAGTCAGAGATCGAGCTGCAGTTACGGAATAATTCATAAGGAACCCAGACTGAATTCGGTCTCTAGGGCAGCCCTCCTTAAATGGAACGGAGACCGGAAATCGGAACAATGAAAGTGCTAAGCCATAGAAAAGTACGAGAAACCGGAAGAACTGGGAAAGTTTTTCCGGTCTGTTCCTAGACAAGCAGGGTGACAAAGTTCAAATGGTTTTCGAGACATTTCCCACATGGGAGCTGAATAATAATTATACCCAGCTACTACAATCACCTGGGTAGGGCCGGACATCGTTGACATTACGCCTGTTTCACCCCCAACACTACACTATAAACAATAATTCCAGACTCCAGGAAGCTAATCAATCTCAAAGGGACTTTGCTCAGTGGGTGACAGTGGCAGAGCAGCCTCGGGGCAGCATCTGCGTGAGCTGAGCGTGAGAACGCTTCGTCACCAAACTTCCAAACACTATGGAGTTTTCAATTGTTTTCCAGGGTTCTGGATAAAGCGGGGCATCTCCCTTGTTCCCCTATAGTGGGGCAAACAACAAAGCCAAATGCAATTGATTTCGACGTTTTCAGCGAGAGTTGGCAAGTTTTCTGATAAGAAGGTCTTGCCGAGTGGCTCACGTGGCACACTACCCCAACTTACTACTANTTCAATCACAATGTTGTAGCCAGATATTGTATGCGAGGCTCGATAGGATCAGAGTTATGACAAGAATGTTCAGAATGCTCCAATTGCAAGTAAAAAACGGTGAACTGTTTTTTAAAACTGGGTGGTCCATATTGTGAGCCTTTGCTATTTCATTGCGACCTGAATAACACCGTTTAAAAAGCAGTCAAACGGGGAAATGAAATCGGAGTTGCAGTCATTCTGTAGCTGAAATCAGCGGTCGTCAGACTCTGGAATAAACTGGGTGGTCTACTCTTGCTAGGTTGCACGGTATGTGAGAGTATGAGGCCATATCAGCCAAGAGTGAAGGTGGTAAAGCTGCCTACTCCTACAAGTAGAGTAGTAAAGTACCTGACAATTAGTGGCGAGTGGATGGATATACATCAATAGAACTACCTGGTAGTTGGATTTGAAACTTACCAGTTGAACAACTCCTCCCAGAGCTGAGTTATGATGAGGCGGAGGTGGTGTTAGTGGCAAGAGATACATCAGCCACTTAATGGTTATGGCTGAAATGTAGGAGGCCTCCCCCTCCTCTAAGCCCTTCCCACCCCCAAGTTTTTACCCCTTCGCTGCTTTTACTCGTTATTGAAGGTATTGAAGGTATAGTTTAGAGGTATAACAGTGAACCGAGGATCCAGTGCCCCATTGAAAAAGGCTATCAAAAGGATTATCGACTGTGGAATGTAGAATAAGAGTCATTTCTGAGAGGTTAAGCCAGTCCTGCGAGGCCTGGCAGTTAAGCTTTCGAATAGCAGTCGGGTGGATCTGGTAGCTGAGACCTCTAAGCACAAGAGTATGTAAATCTAGAGGTATAGGTTGCAGAGGTCTTACCAGTATTGAATGTTGTTACACTTACTCAAACAGAACAGTCAGCGCGTTTGTTCTATGAGCTCTTCAATGGCAAAGTGGTAATCCTTCTTGCTAGCTGGTTTCCAAGTTTTCCAACCTACAGCTGTATGTACAAAAAAAAATTTA